AGAAAGAAGACTTGCTTCAAACACAATCCATGCAGGGAGCGTATAAACCCTGATTTTAACATTTCCTTGTCCTCTGTCTGGATGTCATGGTTCGGAATGTTCTTTGGTTTATCTGAATAAGTCTGTGGTAAAAACAAGCAGGTAAAGAGATTTTAAAATGTAGTTATAAGCATGAGAATTACATCAGTAAAATACCCCACTGGGGATTTAACCTTGGTATCTAACAAGAGTCAAAATTTGAGACGAAAAGCTAACGTTCATAAGGCCCAACATTAGCCGCCTTTAGCTTAGCGGTGGTGACGTGAAGTCATGTGACCGTGCTGTAGTTCCTTTATAGCCCAACATTAGCCACCTTTAGCTTAGCGGTGGTGACGTGAAGTCATGTGACCGTGCTGTAGTTCCTTTATAGCCCAACATTAGCCGCCTTTAGCTTAGCGGTGGTGACGTGAAGTCATGTGACCGTGCTGTAGTTCCTTTATAGCCCAACATTAGCCGCCTTTAGCTTAGCGGTGGTGACGTGAAGTCATGTGACCGTGCTTAGTTCCTTTATAGCCCAACATTAGCCACCTTTAGCTTAGCGGTGGTGACGTGAAGTCATCGTGACCGTGCTGTAGTTCCTTATAGCTCAACATTAGCCGTCGTTTAGCTTAGCGGTGGTGACGTGAAGTCATGTGACCGTGCTGTAGTCCTAAGGCTGGTTTTTATATTGTATCTCTAGCTAGCAAATTGACAAATAAACCCTTTCTACTTCTCATTCGTAAACCTGACCTGCTTAACCATCAGCTCCTGACATTTGGGCAAATTTGGCTAATTCTGGGCTAACACAATCCCAGCTGGGGTTGAAAGTACTTTAGCTTTGTGATTGGCCCCAAAATACTCATGGGTTGGCACCAGAACGGGCCGATTATTTAGACTGTGGCCCGAAAGACTTTTGATTACTGGGGGTTCGGGACGAACAGGATAACTAGGGACGTCACTTTCCAAGTTGTTCTGTATTCATTCTGGCTTCCGGCTTTGTGCAAAAAGTTGTTTAATCTGTATTTAATAAATTATTTGGCCCTGGTAAAAATCATTTCTGATGAAGACTAACTAACAAATCGTAGCAGTCATGCAGGTTCTGGGTGTTTCCTTAGGGTTTCATGCAAGACATTTCTAAGATAATTCAATAGGGGTATAGGTTGGATATTTGGCACAGTCGTCTATTGTCTGTTCCTTTGTTATTGTGTCGTGTTGTGTTTTTTAATCCACCGTTGTCCTTCGATGTGTCAGTGAGAATCCTGCCGGGTGAGGCGTCATAAATTACTGTGAAACATTCCCAAGAACACCGCAGAGGATTGTAGAAAGAAGAAATCCTGATTGGTGGAACAGGTATATTTCTGTGGAATTCTATTTTACCTCGTGTTGACTTCATTCTATTATTTACTTTTATT